AGACTTTTCGACTGAGATGTTGACATCAATCCTTTTTCCACCAGATTATGTACTACTGAAACAGGTGAGCTGAAATAGGACAACGTGCAGTCGCACCAATTGGCCAACATTTCTGTCCCACCTCGGTGCGTTGATATCTGTGGATTCAGCGTTAATGCAGAAAGCTTCATGGGGCAGTGTTATGGAATGTTCTGGATGGGTCTGTGATCGATCAAACCATCAGAACCTGCGAACACGAAGAAGTGGGAATGTTGGTCGACGGGGGCCGCGGTGATTGTCGGTTTCATATAAACAATACTCGGATGGATGTGATATACGGCTTCATCACCCCCGCCGCCAAACTGATTCGTGGTGGTCGCGGAACCTCTCACTTACACGCGTCTGATTGTCCAATTCTGTCGTAAAAATCGTGAACTACAACCATCGAATCACGCTTGCTCTAATTTTCATCAGTCCATCACATTCTTTGGATTTTTTTCGGTGTTTTTACTTGTTCTCCAGTTTTATGCTTTATTTGGCGGACTATTCCGCTATGCAATAGGATTGTGACAGTGTCTCTAAATAAAAAAATCAATAACTGTAAATGATTTATCCTTGTGTTGATGATACAAATCTGGATTTACCTCTTCACCTCGCGCTCTCGTTTCAATCAATGAACATGATTGTAATCAACCTCCTCACAAATCCTAATTGTCGTTCAAGTTAGATCAAAGTTGATGAAGGGTAAACAAGGCTTCTCAGTTTGTTGTTAGGGTATTTCGCATTGCTATTATCTCCCGACACGTAACTTCTGTTCCCCGAGTCGTATTTCCATGTGCGTTTGCACTTCGAGAGTTGTTTGTCCATGGACATAAATGTAGCTTCCGTTTGATGACCACACTATAATCTGTAAAATACCAGATACAACAAAGTCTTCGACACAGTCAGCTGCTGTCACAATTTTCGTTCATAGTTCGTACGCACCACGAGCAGGAGTTTAGCCACCGGTGCATTCTTGATCATGCGCTCACATCCCCGAAGAAGGTATGTGATCACATGGTTTTAAGTCTCGTTATTCGGATTTCAATGTGTTCCATTTCACCACCTTCACAATCAAGCGTGAACAGTGGAAAGGTGTATCATCACTACATAAACTATATGCACCTTTCTACTTTTTGAGTTTAAAAATAAACAGATCCCACAAGTCCCCGTACATGCGCACGCCTACCTGTGCGCGTTTGCTGAGATTTCTTGGGTGCTGCGTGTGTACGTGTATGTATGTTTCTAAAGATCACAATCTCACAAGTCTATTTTCACATACTACTACTTTTTTGGTCATACCTAGTTCCCAATTTTCAGTGATCCCCTACTTTTTCTCTCACCCCGTTTGGTTGCAATCTCGTCACAGGTTGGTGTTCGTTCTTCATAGTGAAGGAATTGGCGAAACCTTACAAATTAATGGTCCCTGTTTCGATGAGCTAAGTTGTACCAGTTTTGGATACACATGTTGACCTTTAATTGGACCACGTTCATCGATTGTATGTCTTCGGCTGCGCGTATGTGTCTCTGTCCTACGATCAGGTGATTGCTCATCACTCACAAGGCACAATACTGTCCCGATCAGATTTAAACTCCGTTGCCAACCGGGTTGGTTGCCTGTATCTGTACCGTTTTGGCTTACCGTCTATTCAAGTTCTCACGGAAGACAGCACGTGATCAAAGCATATCGCAGGCAGAAATCGACACGAGTGTCTTATGCATAAGTTTAGGTACCCTAATGACAGAGAAACGATACATGAAAAAGTGAGGTTTTGGTAACGGGCCGAGAGTATCCCATGCAGGAATTCGTCTTCCGGTTCCATACCAAGACTATACTACCTCGGGGATGACCACTTCATGTCCCGGGACTCGGGTCACCGGCTTCCGTGACTAGTCGTCTTAACCATATGGTTAATCTCCTACCTGCTACTCACCACTCTAAGGAGTGTGACCATAAGCGTTTTATCCGGATACACTATGAACAGCAATACAAATATGAGACCGGAGGAAAAAG